GCCCTCGCAGCGATCACGCACTATCTTATAAACCAGGAAACAAATGATGGACAGCAATGCCAGATTCATCGGACTGTAGAAGATTTCCCGAAATGCGGCACCCAGAAATGACGTATCGGCTGTTGCATCAGCCTCGATCGTATTTTGTTGCTTTTGTTGGGTTTCCATCTTGCAAGTTTGCTTTGCTTCTTGTCGCTCCGAAAGTTTTTTGTTGAACTTTGCTCACGTCTTTCGCTTTACTTACAGCAGTGCGTACTTAATGATGAAATGTAAAACGAAATTCGGACACCACTAATACAAATAAACGACTTTTGCATTTATTATTATACACAGTATATGTTGACTTCTCTTTCTAGAAGAAATATATTTTTCTTTTTCACCCAGTCAGCGCCTACTCTCTAAACAGCTGCAAAAGGTAGTGCTGACAGCTGACAACAAATCATCGACAAGGAATCATCGGTTATCGGCACTAGAGCTACATACTATCGGCTGCGGTTACTTGTTGCTCCTGAATGTAACGGATGACAGCTACATGGGTTTATCAACACTGACATTTAAATTCGTGCCGACTCTTCAAAAAACTTCGATGAACGAGAAACAGCCCAAATAATATGCATTTATTATGTGCCCACAACACAAAAAACTCACTTGCTAGATAGTTCAAGATGCTGACAGACACGTGCTACCGCAGCTGCCCAATAGGTTCGCGTATTTAAGGGCGAGCAGCTTTCATCCCAAGGCACATGCGTCTGTCACTTGTAAGTCAAAGCAGTTATGAATCTTGCATTAACCATCATTTGGTTGAGCTGCATCTGTGCAGGAAGTGCACAAAGTATCGAGCGAATGCTTGCAGAGAACACAAAGGAGTTAAATGAAACCAAAGCGCTTCTCCGTCACATCGATGCCACAAACGAAAACATTAAAAACAGCCTCGAACAGCAACGTGGCTGGCTGGATGCGATCAAAAATGTAGATGGCCAACTGGACAAACTCAACCTTTTTCTCGATGCACAATCTGTGGTTGTTCAGGAGGCGTTGAATAACATCACACTTAAGTCTGGTATACATTCTGATCGTGTGTCCAAGGAATTGGGAAGCTTGGCTCGTCTGCAGATTTCAACGAAGCAACAAATCAGCGGGCTGGAGCAGAAACTGGATGGGTATCAGAAACACGTACTACAGAATGCGCACAGCATTGAAAACAATATATTAGATCTGACAAAATTAATAACGCGCGCTGTACTGCCACAATTGAATGGACTGCAGTGTTCCTTTGATAGCCTAGAGACATCCCAAATCAACATCGAGGTGGAACTGAAGAGTTTGGCGCGCCTCAAGGAGATTAGCGAGGATTCCAATATCAAGTTGATCACATTGACTAGTAAGCTGATTAGCTTGAATCGCACTCAGGAAGCCCAGTTTGAGAAGTTAACACACGCACTGTCCCAGCTAAAGCCGCTAAATTCCTGGCAAATTGAAAGTGCTCTTCGAGAGTTGATAGTCTCCCAAAAGAGAATCGAGTTGGATTTGGAGGCATGCGATCAACGTCAAAAATCTCATTATGCCAAACATTCTAGTTCTTCATCCCATCCCTCCTATGAAGTTGAGTCGGCAGATGTAGCTCCCCCTCCACGATCACAGGCTTGGAGCCATAAGGAACCCAATCAGCAGGGTACGTCTAACGCATTACAATCTATATAATTTAAATATCAAGTACTTTATTATCTGTCTTCAAGGCTCTTACTACGCCAGCGTCTATGCCCAAGTACCTTCCTCAAAGCCAATACTCGGCAAACCTAGAAATCCCAACTACAGCTCTTATGTAGCCATACCTGCCAAGCACACCAGTTCCAGTTCCGTCTCCTGGCAGCAACCTCTGCCTTGGGAAACTGTGCCTGCCTATCAATCCGTTCCAGCGGTCGTGTCCAAGCCAAAGCCCAATCCCCCAGTCTGGACTTCAGAGTCACACAAACATTATCAGTCCGGTCCTGCATCTGGTTCCGAGCGCAAGAGACCTGCTCCTAATCCGCAGCCATGTGTCCAGAATCAATATTCGCAGCATCCACCGCGCCACTTGGGTTCCTCTCCACCAGCACAGCCAGCTAAATCCTATTCTCCTCAAGCACACGACGTGTCTTCAAATGGACGTTATTCATTCTGGCACGGCAGCAACTCCCCATCGGAAGGCTACTAAGACCTCAACTTAATATTTTGTGAATTTGATGAATGATATTTTACGGCAGACGAATAATTATATAATATAGCCAATATTCAAATATGTATAAATATTTCTAGACAATTGTAAAAAATCGAAAAATATAGATGTTTTTATTATTATATTATACATTTTGTATATGAGATATCAAATAAAACTTATCTATAATACTATGTCATATAGCAAAATATTTTATATTCCATAAGAAACGAAAGCCTTCCAGGGTTAGTGTATATTAATACATAACCTCTAGTATTTCTGTAATGCAGAGAGAATGGTAATAATGCTGACCCTCTTTCTTGATTTACTCCAGATTATACATACATAATTACGCTTCATGGTGACATGAAATTTTTTCCACTGGTTTGATATCTACAGCAAAGTTAAGGCCAATACTCTCTTAAGGCTGCCAGAACAGAATAAGAATACAATTTTGTATATCTATTGTACATTTGTTAGTTACATTTTCAGAATATCTCTGTCTTACTGCTTAAATCGACAAACAAAGGGTTCTAAGTATATCAGAATAGTGTTCCACAAACAATCCTTTATATTATATACAAAAAATTAAAATAAATAACAAATGCAACCATTTCCATAAACTGTTATCAGATTTATGCCGTTGGTGACGCGGGACTAGAATGTCCAGTACCTATGAAATGTTTTCAAATTTAAGCTATACGTACATACATATGTATATACATATATACATACACCATTATGCAGTACATTTCTGTTCCTATGTCCGAAACAAATTCAACGTTCTGCAAATCAAGTTATATAAGTGTATAATTATTTAATTTAAAATGCCTTAAATTTTAGTGAATGAACTAATTTTAGAGCCCGTTGATTGGATTACGACGCAGCAGCAGCTGCACGCAGCCGGAAATTCTAAAATTCGGCACGTCTCGTGCACCTTCACTTAAAGCTCTATATCAAGTGGGCTTTACGTAGAAGCAATCATAGTAGAATATTAAGACGTGCCCAAACACATATTTTCAGAACTATTTCGCAGTCGAAATGTCGTTGAACTATTTGATTTTAATGTTTCTGAGAGCTAAGCGCCAAAGATTGAAGGGCAGCAGTAGCTGATTGAGAATGGAGACTGGAAGCTGTCGTAAGTTTTGATATCACAAATCAAAATATATATTGGGTGTCCCTTAAGAGAGATAATAAACTTCTAACTTATATCAAATAGAATATAATAGCAGTTTACGCTGTCGCTGATAGGGTCAAAGTGCAACCGGCACGTGCTACTCCGTTACAACGCTGACTATTTAAGCCATGACCCACGCCAACGTGGCGCAGTTCGAAGCGAATCAAATAAGCAGAAAACCATGAAACTACAACTAGTTTTGCTCATTGTATGCCTGGTTAGCTGCAGCAGGGCTCAGGAGGAGCCAGAGGATCAGGTGAGATCTTTTGAAGAAATGAATAGCCAAATCTCAATATTCCTGCGTCATCCCTCACCAGGAACAGGAAGGAGAGGCAGGTGAAGCAGCGGCAGAAGCAGCCCCTCCCAATCATGGGGATAGCCGACCGGACACAAGCAACGCTGCCATACGTCGCATTTTGGACGAGAATACAAAGGTTCTACGACAATTGGACAACAAGGCGCAGGCCATGAGTAATTCGCAGAAGGGCATTGAGGGTAAGCTGAGGCTGTTGGGTCAGGATGTCGCCGGCATTGAACGCCTGGAAGATGGCCTCAAGAGACTCGAGTTGAGCACAGCTGCCAATTTTCATCTTACGGCCCATGGAATTCGTAACCTGACTAGTAGCATTCGGGCAGCTGAGAATAAAACGGATTGGGCTCTCTTGAATCTTGCACGTGGCCAGCAGGATATCAAGCAGTTGATTTCCAAGGTGGATGCCAATCAGAATAAACATGAGCGTAGTCTCGATCAGGCTGCCAAATCCGTGACTCTGCGTCTCTCAGCGCTGGACAACTTGCTCAAGCAGTCCGTGCTCAAAGAAGTAGTGGCCCTCGTCCAAGTGGCGAAGAAGCTGGAGCAGTCCCAACGACTAATTGAGAACAAAGTCGGCCATCTGGATGAATTGACGGCGTTGTCTGGCCTAACAGCCAGCAAGGTGCACCAGTTGGAACACGGATTGCGTTCCATAAACAGCACGCAGCAGCGCCAATTGGCTGCAATCGGGCACACGGTGGAACATGTAGGCGCCAGCACCTGGCAGATCGACAATAAGCTTGGCGTGCTGCTCAGCACACAGAAGAACATTGAACGTGCCTTGGTCGAATGCAAGAAATGTTTCCCCTCCCACAAGCAGCCGGAGAGTCCACATGATCGTTGGCAACAACCTGGCTATATATCCTACGAGTAGGTGAAAAAATTATTAATAATTGTTCGGCTCTACAACCGTTTCTTTTTCTCTTTATTCTCTCCCACCCCCTCTATCCTATCGCTGTGCATTGCAGTCACAAGGAGGCAAATAAGCCATCTTCAAAGGAATATGAAAGCAGTTATGATCATGCCGATGAAGCCTCCTATCTGTATCAGCTTTGGTATGGAAAAGACGATAAATAGATGATCCTGTTGATCAAAAACTTTGTTTGCCTTGTTTTTGGCTTTGAATAATCTACGTAGAAGTTTTGCCCCTGGGCCAATGGTTTATCTTATTATCGGCTTATCGAAGATTCTATGGTCAGCTATAGAAATATTCTGAACTAAGTGATATGATATACAATATTGTTACTCTAATCTCAACTGGTTGGGAAACCAGAAAACAAGCGCATAAAATCTGTTCCATTTCTTGATTATTTGAAAGCATAAGTGGAACTTTTTATTTTGGAGTTCAAACTTAACAATTAATAGTTTGTCTTTTAACTAACAAATGCACCTATTGAGCCTCTGTTGTCTTTTATAGTGGACAAACACTTGCAACAGATGCTTTACACACATGTTACACTTACAAATTGTTAATAAAGTTATTTGTTATTACATATATTTAATGAGTTTTTGGATCTAAAGGCATAACGTGACCATCCGCTGACTCAAAATTGACGATCAGCTGCGATTCATGCTGATTTTTATGCTCGGAACGATGCAAATTTTTTTTGGCCAGCGCGCGAAACTCTGCCATTGATATTCCGGTCTCAATTTTTTCGCTACTCGCATCCGGATCTAAGGGATACAAGTCGTCGCCGGGTAGTAGATGAACGAAGCCATCTGTACATTTGTATATTACTGGATGGATGACCACGTCTCTCTCGGATGAACGGTGCTGAGCAAACAGGCGCAATTGTTCCAACTTCTGAAAGTTGAGACAACGTGAAAGTTCGTAATATTGTGGCGGAGGCAGCCAGAGTTCTTTCTTGTGTGCAGCTTTCAGATAGTCCAAAGGAGCACGCCACTGTTGAGGTCATCATATACATATAAGATAGGAAATTAAATATACATAAGTTTGGGAAACAAAAATACTAGCTAATTACTATTTCTATTCTAATCAAGACAGGTCTAGTCTGATGCTAGCGAGTAGACGTAACTCTGATCATTGATCGAGCTCATTTACCCACAGGTAGTTTCTGTTGCTTTGTTCTATTTCTTGTTATGTTCAGACCTTATAATCCTTCACTTCATTAGGCTCTGTTAGCACCTGCGGCTGGGCTTGGAGAGCAGCTAAAAAGAAGACGGTTTCGAACCGCTTCTGGAAAGTAGATGGCGTGCGCCAGGCAGACCATTCGTGCAACGACCACAGATCGGGCACCACATCCAACTCTTCACAGAGCGTCAAATATTTGCTGGCATCGTTATGGACAATACGTTGCCAATGCTGTCGATCAAATTGCTCATTGAATTGTGCATAGCCATCGGTTCTGGTCAGAGATTTGCGATCGCGGCACAGCAAAATACCCATCTCTTCGAAAGTCTCCCGTAATGCAGTCAAACGTAGTGAAACATCACTATAACAAAAAATAAAGAATAAAGCAACAATTTGATAAACTATTCAATTTTGCAACTTTACGCATTAAGGTTTTCATTAGAGCCCTTCGTACTCGCAGCTCCTTTGCATATTTTCTTTAATTTCTCAGCACTCCCTTCGTAGCGACTAAAGTGTCTTAGCCAAACTGGAGAGCTATCCACAGTTTCACAAACGCCACCGGGAAACACTGAAGCGTCGGGCATGAAGGTCGACTTGGAGTTACGCGTAAAGAGTAGCGCCTGAAAATATTTAAATAGGTTACGACTTTGCGATATATAACAAAATATACATACATTATAATCTGAGCTGCTGGGTGGAAATTTAGTATCCCTGGACAGAAGTATTAGACTAGCTGAATGACGAATTTTATCCACAACTTTCTTCGGCATAGTTTAGGTAATAAAAACAATAACAACAAATAGAATTCAAGCTAGATCTATCGATCTAGCTGATGGTAAAGCTGCCAGTGCACTCAACTATCGATTGGCGATAGCTTACCAACCGTCAGTCGTCAGTCGACCCGGCAGCTGTTTGATGTCAACAATATGATGTATCGATATCCCCAATTTACCTGGTCAGCTGTTGAACTTCAGCTGCGCGGTGCAAAGGTTGAAAATAAAATATGATTTATTTAGTTTTTAGTGCTACAAACGCCACGACAAGTTGCCAATCGCTGGTATGGCTACCACAGATCAGATCCAATATAGGCCCTCAGCTAGTTTAATACTGGCAAGCAAACAAGTGTTCCATACAAAAAAGAAATACGATTATAACGTAAGACTAAAGAATAGTATTACTCATGTTTAACTACATAAAGATTTCCACTGACAGGTATTGCTAATGAAACGGACAGAGCGCACATCTTATGCACTTAATCACTGTGTCTTTCCTGGAGGCGTCTTCGATGCCCAGGCAGATGAATCTGCCGATTGGTTGATCTACTTCCAAGAATGTGGAGTTTCCCGGGACCAGCTAAAGCTATTGCACAGCCGGCAATCAATGGGTAGACCGGAGCTCATGACCCAAGGTGTAGAGCTCTCACGTGATATCTCACTTCGCCTGACAGCGCTACGAGAAACCTTTGAGGAAGTGGGCATTCTGTTGTGTCGCAAGAATCTCAAGAATTTGAATGGTGGACAGCCAGCGCAGGTACCGGTGCAACTGTTCGATCGGGAATATTGGCAGCAGCGAGTGCACAATGATGCACAGCAATTTCTTGTGCTGTGTCGGCATTTGGCTGTTATCCCAGACCTGTGGGCTCTCAACGAGTGGTCCATTTGGCGTACACCAGCATCCGCCTCGAGTCGCAAATATGATACTGTTTACTATTTGGCTGCCTTGGAGAACTGCTACGTGGACTTGTTACTTGAACCAACTGAAGTAGCTGCGGCTTACTGGATACAGCCTTCCGACGCCTGGCTTCAAAGTCAAGAGGGTCTTATTTGGTTACCATACATACTGCTCTACGAGACGGCGCGTCTGATGAGCATTCAAGGTTGGCAAGAGTTGCTACAATTTGCATATGACCGCAGTACACAGGGATCTACACTGCTTCAGCCCATCTATTATCGCACAAATGACTGTCTCATTGGCGTGCTTCCAGGCGATGAGTTGTACTTGCCGGAGCCAGAAATCTACAACGAATCCATAGTATTGCCGTGCTCTATTAGTGAACTCAACGCTGTAGCCAAGCGCTTCAATCGGTATATGATATACAGCTTTCAACATGTGGACTTTGCTTGCAATGTGCCTCCACTTGACGGACATTATCCGCTGCAAAAGCGTGTAAATGCGCAGCTAGCCAAGTTATAAAAAGATAGTTAAATACTTTGACATAAACTTCGATTTAATTAGATTAAGGTACCACTACTTAGCTCTGCTTGTATATTCCGACATGCATGACATAGCTCTTCTCTTTCCTTCAAACGCTCTAAGACTCGTTGTTCCAACACGTCACAACTGCTCTTCATCTTTAGTTCTACGCCGACTTCGGAGACAGCACGTGAGTATTCAATTGCCAGCAAAGTGTCGGAGACGTTATTATCGAGTAGAGATTGACAAAGTGCACAGTATGAAGCCAGAATTTCTTCGGAATTACGTTTAGGGGCAATTTTATCACCTGTCCGAAAAACTGTCGACACTGTCGATGCATAATTCAACTGAAGATTGGCCACAAAGTCCCTAGTCAAGCTCTGCAAGCTACTGGATAATGGATAATGACTAGGATCATGCACACGAAATGCTTGAAGCTCTTTTGCATGGACATAGAACTGCACTTCCTGATCATTGAGATCCTTCAAGGGACGCAACAACTTGACATCTCCCATCAGACGATCATCCAGCAAGGCGACATCCAACGCAACGCTTGCTCCGCGTCCCAGAGCCACAGATGTCAGAAGCTGTGTAGCCAAGCTGGGACTTATGCTGGGCTCAAAAACATGTGAGCATTTCAGCTTCATAGCCACACCACCTACGAGGAATTTACGTTTCTGCTGCATGTAGTCCTGACGGGAAGTCGAACTGTTAAATTGATCCAGAATCGAGTCCAACTGGCGAACTGTGTAGTCCTTAAGAAGCTGCAAGCTTTGGGGGTCGCCATTTAATTGAATTACATAAAACTCAAAGGGTTCATAACGCCGCTGCAGCCCGCTAAGAGCTAGGAGAGGACTCTCTTCTTCCTTTATGGGCGCGCAATGGGCATCAACGTAAAGAACACGGGCATTGCAGTGCAACCGCTTAAACGTATTTTGGGTTTGAGCAAAGTGCACCATGTCAAGTAGCACCAGAGACTCTGAGCTACCATCAATCACCAGCAAAATTTCAGCATTGCGTGGCAGCACCTTCGCAGCTCCTAAGGCAGCGCGAAATTTGTGCCTGACATACTTGAGAAAACATTCACTACATTCAGCCGATCGAAAGTTTAGTTTGTAAAGCTGTTGTGAGTTTTGGCCGCACTTGCTGCAGTTGCCAGCCCTTAAAACAATGCCAGTTTCTGAGCAGCTAGGCAACATTGCATGCGTGCCACCTTCATCGCCAAAGTCATCTTCGCCAATGCTGCACATTATAGATAAATTTCAACAAATACTGAAATATAACTTAACCTACTCACAAAAGAATAGGCGCGTGCACGAGTTAGGTATGATATATGAAACGATTCTATCGTTAAAAATATCGGTTAGAGGCATTCAGAGGTGCTTTTGATTTTGATATCGAATTGTATCGATTGGGAGTGCGATATGCAGTAGCCAACTTGTCAAGAAAGCAACCTTGCAACTAGCAATAAAGTGCAGTGAAAAATATAAAAATAACTATTAAAAACTGTTATTTATTATAAAAAGCTATTGTATAAGTTTAATTAAGTGCATATGGTATGTGTGGAAAGTGTCGAAATATAGAAAACAGCAAAGCAAATGCCTAAAATTTGAGCGCAAAATTTTAGCTGCTGCCATTGCATGTGTGAGTGCAAATGTAATGTGTGTGTCGCATATGCGTATATGGGTGTGTGCGTGTGTGTGGCTGTAGTACGCAAGCAAAGTATCGGATGGCAAAATCGAGAAACTTTCTTATTGGAACATCCACAAACAAATGGCTGCCATAGTGGTGAGCCTTCAAGCCAGCTGTCAGACAAAAAAATAGAAGAAAACTTATATCAATAAAGTAAAGTAAAAATAAATGGGAAAATAAATAAAAGTTTGCACAGCCTACTATAAGTGTGAATGAAGTCCACTAGTACTACCCTTGTGCCACAACTACAATAATAATAACAATAACAGTAATAAATAGTATACAACGTGTATAATAAACTTTAACATTCGAAGTATTGCGAGTACTTTACTTAAATTTTACGTATGTAAATAACATGCTAATATATTTGTGTATTTGCAGCATTTTAGCTAATATTGAACATATATATATATATATATATACATTCATACACATATATATATATATATACGTATAGCGTATAGTGCAGTTGGTACGAAGCACACCCTTCAGTGAGTGTGACAGAGACAAAGTGAGCAGAGTGTGGCAAAGGTCATATTAAAAATAAGTATATTTCGGCCCCCTAAAACGACAAAAAAAAGGAAATTTACAGCGCAGACCAACGTATAAATCAAAACGCATACAACATTTGGGGCCATTCAATAAAATGATATTGGAAAACTCGGATAAGCTCAAGGATTGGTTGAGCGTTGTGCTCGAACCACTGTAAGTAATTGAATTGAATTCGATAATAACATTTTATTAAATGTTTCTTGTTTTTACTATATATTTGCATTTGATTAGCTGCGATGCTGACTCCTCGGCTTTGGCGCGCTATGTAATCGCGTTGCTGAAAAAAGACAAATCGGATAAAGATCTCAAACGCATCATGATCGAGCAATTGGATGTGTTTCTTTCAGAGGAGACGACACGATTCGTCGATCGTCTATTCGATGCGATTGCCAGCGAGGAGTATTTATCAATGCCCACTCCAATGCCCGTATCAACAGCTAACATCGCGGAACTGGAGCTGGAACCTGATTTAGATGGTGTAGCTGAGATTGAGGCTGTTGTTAACTCATCACCGCCGTCGCCGTCACCAACAACCGCGCCAAAAGACATTGTGATAAAAGCCGATAACAATCAACAGCAATTAAGAAGCGATAATAGCAGCAGAGAAACCGCCATCGAAGCGTCCAGCGCAATGCCAACAGATGCCAATACCACGGGTACACACAGCACCAAGATAGCCTTCGATGTAGGTAAAGACAACTGTACTCCGTCAATGATTCTAATGGGTTCCTTTTGATTGCAGCACAAAACCAAAGACTCTCACAGCCAGCAGCAACAGCTAATGCATCATCATCACAGCAGTACTAGTGGAGGTAGCTCAGTCAACGCATCAGGCTTTGTGCGCAGCGCTAGTCCGCCTCTGCGCAGCAGCGGTCCAGCTGGTGCCTATGCCGCTGATAAGGAGAATCAGCCTCGTGATAGTCGCCGACGACGCGCCTCTTTGCGTTCTCGATCTCGYTCCCGTTCCCGTTCCAATGAACGTTCGTTTAGGCGATCACGGTCGCGAGATCGTCGCATCAATGAGCGCGAGAAGAGCCAGCGTCAGTTCCGCAATAAGTCGCCGCCGGGTGGTACGAGTGAACAACGACATAGACGAAGCAACAATAATAACAGCACCAACAGCACCAACAACTTTGACCGGCGACGAATCGGCAACAACAATAGCAGCAACAACAACAGCAGCATGGATGAGCGCACTCAACGATTCGGCAAGAGTCGCCACTCTCCACGCAGTCGTTCTATTTCACCCGAATCGCGCAATGCGCGACGTGGTGCCAACATCAGCAGCAACAACATTAACAACAGCTCAAACAACATGGAAGCAGCGGCTTGCTCCTCTGCTGCCGTTGTAGCCCCTGCTGCGCCTATGCCACTGCCCGTATCGCATCCTGTTGCTGCAATGGGGCGTCAACGTTGCCGCGACTTCGATGAAAAGGGATATTGTGTGCGCGGCGAGACCTGCCCCTGGGATCATGGAATTAATCCTGTGGTATTCGAAGGTATAAACAATTCAGCATTGATGATGTCCATGCGCGAGTACAATCCCGATGCACCTGAGATTTGGGCACGTGGCGGCCCTGCTGGGGTGCCCGGCGTGCCTCAGCCTGGCGGTGGTCCACCACAGGCACTACCCGTGCCGCCCCAGGGTGGCCCATCAAGCATTAATCCCTTCAGTGGAAATGTGCGTGCCTGTGCGCCGCACGGTGTGCCCAATCCTGCTGATTATGCGCGCCAGCCAGGCCAGCCGCCGCAAGTACCTGCGCCTCCGCCCATGATGCCATTCCCTTTTAATCCGACAGCCGTGACAACGCCGTTGCAGCGTCAACTAATACCCATACCAGTAATGGATGGTGGGGTTGGAGGTGGGGTAGGAAGCGGCGGGGGCGGTGGGCTGGCTGCTGACATGGGAAAACGGCGTTTCGAGCTGGAGGACAGTGTGGCCATAGCCGATGTGCCCAGCAAAATGCGCAAGCTGCCAATCAATAGTCGCCTAGGACCTCGCGTCAATCCCAATATGCAACAGCACAATAGTTCCCTGGAGCTGCGGAAAGTGCCGCGTGGACTGAACACTATAGCGCATCTGAACAATCATTTCGCCAAGTTTGGCAAAATTGTCAATATTCAAGTGTCATACGAAGGCGACCCGGAGGCGGCAATCGTAACATTCTCCACGCATGCGGAGGCAAATGTTGCTTATCGCAGCACGGAGGCAGTGCTCAATAATCGCTTCATCAAGGTTTTCTGGCACAATGACAACAACAGCAATAGCGGTAGCAATAATAACAACAATAACAATAACATCGTCAATGAGTCGGGCAACCCGAATGTGAATCGCAAGAGTCAGTATCATTTGCATAACGTGCCTGCAATGCCGACACCTAATGCAGACAGCGCCAAGATAACGAACACGAACAACAACAGCAGTCAACCCAACCAGGCCACACCCCTTGGAGAAACAAATAATGCACTGGCAGCACCAACTACGGAGCAGGGACTGGCAAGCACCGCAGCACCCGCCTCTATGCGTCTGAAGCTCAATGCAAACGCGACAGCGGCCAATGCGTCAGCAACTGGTGTAGCAAGAGCTCTAACGCCGGCAGTGAATGCTGCGACAATACGCAAAAAGCAGGAGGAGCAACAAAAGGCAATGCACCAGCTAGCGAATGGGCTGCGCAAGCGTAAACAGGAGCTCCTCCAGAGCTATGTGAAGCAGATGAAGACAGCGCTGGAGCTGGTTGAGCGTATGGATCAGCAAGATGCGCAGCGTGCTCCGACGTTGGAAACGATCAAAGTTCTGCAGGCAACGATTGATAAGCTGCGCAAAGATGTGCATGCTGATCAGGATCAGCTCCAGGCCCAAATCCAGCAACAGCAGCAACAACAGCAGCAAACGCTTCCCGTGAAGAAAACCAAAGAGCAACAGAAAAAAGAACTGCTCGATATGGAGCTCGAGCTAATTGCCCAGCAACAGGAGGGCAACGATACAACGGCTATACAGAAGCGTCTCGAAGAGCTGCAGCGCACGCTCTCTGCTTCAACTGGAGGTGGCTCCTTGTCTGGCGGTGGTGGTGCCAAGCTGCCCGGTGGCGGTGCACGTAAACGTGCCACATATCCCGAGGGGCCAACCCGCGTCGACCGTCGACCAAAAGCAATTGTGGTCACTGGCTTTGCCGCTGAGGAAGCTGATTTTGTGCTGGGTCACTTTAAGGTGAGTGCTGCAACCAAAAAACAAAATCACTAGACTATTCGAGTTGGAGTGAATTGTAGTGCTGTTTATATTCATATATTATAAAATCAATCGTTTACTTACGACTCTTTATATGGTAAGTGATCGACCGTACCTGGGTAGCTGATTTATTATAATCCCTCATAATATCATTATACGTGAACTCAGAAGTTCTCAGAGTTTACATTAGCCAAGTAGAATTGAATGATGAATGCATTATGAATATATAATAGTTCACTAGACACTGAGCAGATTCACTAGTTCATTTTACTGATCCATACACCCGTTATTAGCATTTCGGCGAGATATCCAAACACGATGTGGACCGTGAGATACCCCAATTAATAATCTCGTACGCTACACGTCTGAATGCCGAGCAAGCAGTGCTCCGTGGCAAAATATACAAAGATAAGCGACTGCAGGTGAGTCTCAACTAACGGTCGACATTGATTGTTAGCTTTAGATTACATCTTATCTTATCGTCCCCAATTAAAATTTGCAGATATCGTGGGCACCAGTGGTGTCAACTCCCGCCGTTGTACCCATGGGCGCACCGGCTGACAAGTCGCCGGGAGCGTTAACTACTTCAACATCTGGTGATAAGATGGATAATCCGAAGCAATTGTTGCATTCATCGGTCAGCGAGAGCGAATCTCTGCTGGGCAGCGATACTCTGCCAGAACTGCGGCTCGAAGATGAAGAGGAGGATGAGGAGTCTGAGGATCGTTCCTGGCGTCGTTGATTAAACGCCATGTGCTGCTCTTAGTGTCAGTCTAGCGGCTCTACGTGGCTCATAATCATTAGGAAAACATTGTGTTTCTATTTGTTGTTATTCTATATGCAAAACATGCAAGTACCCATATATTTAGATATGTATATATATATAAATAACTATATATATACATATATCCGAATGTAAATGCATGCAGGGTAAACATCGTTAATTGTATAAAACAAAATTTCAAGACAAAACAAAACATGCTAAAATAATGTACAATATTCTAGACTAAAAGGCAAGCTGCCGCACACACCAATCCACACAAACACGCGACATTTGGAACTGTTGGTGGCTCTATGTGCTAATCCTAGAGCTAAATAATCTATAAACGTCTTAAATTAAATTATAAAAACGCTCTTAAAATTACTAATAATTACGGAATATATGAGTTAATATGTATATGTAAATTGCATTCGATCAAAGGGTGCAATTAGCTAAGCGCCTCTTTATAGTCCACAATTAACATGAGCCGTATAAAAAAAAACTAACAATATTAGAAGACGAAAAAAAACTATGCAATTGATTGAGCATCTTTATATATAAATATAAATATATATAGGTACTACTTTGTATTTACATACTTTTTCCTGCTATCCTTACGTTCACTTAAAAAGAAAAAAAAAAGAAAAAACAAAAGCAAAAAAAATTACTAAGCAAAAAAATGGTAAAAGCAAATCAAAGTTAAGAAACAACATAAAAAAAAAGATAGAAGTGAATACAAAGTTTTAGAGAGAGTATAATAAATAAAAAAAATAGTTTCGTATTTGCTAATAATTTCACATAAAACATAAACTTTGTGTTTCTTTTCATTTAATAGAGTGAAATACTACTAATTATGGTCACAATTAAAAAGATATTTCATGGTCTCGCTTAGACAAATTTGTATCATGCCTTTTTAAGGTGCCTATTAAACTCGATTCGAATCAAATTCGATAAGTTATGACGCACAGCGATTAACGATTACTATCGTAGAGAAACACGATTGCTTCAATACTAAATATACAAATTGTTAAAGGAGGGGGCTATCCACACGCGAATTTGTTACACGAACATGTGTTCGTCAGGTACTTTCTTTTGTTTTAAATAAACATTTATTGCCATTAAGCTCGATTTTTTTTTCTTTCGCTGGCATGTTCACAATCCAAAATTTGTTTTAAAATTATTTTCTCGAACATGTTTGTGCAAATGTTCGCATAGTTAGTAGGCAAATTCGACGAATATGTTCCTGTAACAAATTCGTCTGTTGATAGCCCCCTTTAGGCTGCAATACGAAAATCTAAGCGTAAATATATATCGATATTTTTGCACAGTTACGACTAGTGATGTAAAAAACAAATTTTTACCGATGTTTTCGCTGATACCGATGTTGAACGATGCATCGATGTTTTGCAAAACATCATTATCTGCGAATGCAGTTAACCCCATTTGAAAGCAACCTTTTTCTTTTTGGGAAGGTATGAATTTTTATTTGAAATTGCAATCAATTTTTTTCCGTTGGTATGGCATCTTCTGTTCCCTCTAAAATAATATGTCATTCTGTTTAATTTTAGTGAAATGTATAAGACTGTTATGAAAGCAGAAAATATCTCTCCTATGTTAAAAATTTTAAAGTTAGGCCTTAAGCAAAATATTGCTATGAAATCTCATTTTTATTATTCTACCCTGAACCCATTGAAAATGGAAAATCAGGGTATAATGGGTTTGTTGAAATGTATGTAACAGGCAGAAGGAAGCGACGAGCTGAGTCGATTTGGCCCTGTCCGTCTGTCTGGGTGTCCGTTCGTCCGTCTGTCCGTATGTTTGAACGTGTCGATTTCAGAAGATACAAGAGCTATGGACTTCAATTTGTTTTTTTTTTTAATTGCCCGTATATATAGCGCCGATATCGAGTTTATCACAAAAAATCGATAGCTCATCCCGTTATTTTGATCGATAAAAAACCTTATCGAAAATATATAAAATTATGTCTCCTACATCTTTAAAGCTAGAGACTCCAAATTTTAAATGTGTACCTATATGAATTTTATACAATTTCGTTTTTGTTAAAATGTACTCCCACCCCTATATTCACCCCATCATCCACATATTTGTAAATGGCTAATTTCAAAGACTAGAGACTTGTGCTTTGACACATACACGCACTTTTCTGTTATGATCAGGATCGATCAGTTTCATGAAGAAAGTACATCCACAAAAAAAGTTATTAAGCAATTAAGTTCCCATAGTAAGTCACTGCGGTGCACTGCAGCCAATGCGTGTTTATACGTGCGTGCGTATGCCTGTGTGTGTGCGTGCGTGTGTGTGTAATTATTGAAATATCAATTGCTCGAAGGGTTCAGGGGATCTCGTAGTCGAGCAGTCTCGACTAGAGCTTTCTTACTTGTTATATTTTTATGTCTGTTAAATAATGTTGAGTACTTTTTAGTTTTTTTTTAAATTTAATTTTATTTATTTATTTATTTTTTTTTTTTAATAATTATAACGCCATGAGAGCACCAAAAAAAGTCAAAATAAATAAAAATAGATCGATGCATCGAACTTTCAATCCGATGTATTAATCCAACATCGATGCTTGATTTTGAAAATATTGATGGACATCGACATCGATGTTTTCATTCAAATTTACATCACTAGTTACGACCCATTTTTTATGACTAGTAAATAGTGCTGCAAAAATATCGGATCGGAATCGTTATAATCGATATTTTCGAATTTTGGCAAAAAATCGATATGGTTTTCTTAGTATCGATATATCGAAAAAATGGTTATTCTTGGCGTTGGTTTTAACTGTGTAAGAAGCGCATTTATTTAATTTTGCTAAATTGTATACAAATTGATTGATTTAATTTAATTGCAATAGAAAGAAAAAAAATTGATCAGTTTTTGGGAAGAAAACGTAAGTACAATTGATATATCCTATTGGAAAAGCTTGGAATCATAGCTTGTGTGTTTTAGGCGCGGCGAGGGTGGACTCCGATGAAGAAAATAAGACCGTGGGAGCCCCAAAAAANATATTTGAGAGAGCAGAGAGCATCGTGAGAGAGAGAGAGCAAGGGAAACATTCAGCGCAGAGGGATCTTTTGTTCAACAGTCGACCATCTCGGTCGAGCGCATGAAGCGAAATGATTGTGCTTTCGTATTTTTTCGTAGCCCGAACCCAAAAAGTGAGGAGCCGAGCAAATACGAAGTGTCTGGGAGATAACTCCCGAAAAAAAGTGTGCAAAACGCTTTACACTACTTGTCCGGTCTATGTGTTCTCTGGTTAGTGGCGACGAGCAATTATCACAGCAAAAAAATCGAAATTGTTGCACATCTCTAATGAAAATAAGGCGGGATTTCATGGATTTCCTGCTAAATTAGTTTTCAAATGCTTGTTAATGCATTCAAATGCTTACATTTAGTAAAAAATGCACGTTCCTATAGTAAGCAACCGAAGGATATGAAGTTTTTAAATGTGGCGGAAAAGAATGATGCGGCCAAAACAATTGCAGGCCTACTTTCAAATGGCGCTGCGCAGCGGGTGAGCCACGAATCTATATTGCTAATTATTTGTGGACTTATTAATTACAATGCAGCGCGAAGGCTATTCGGTGTACAATAAGGTTTACGATTTTGAGGCGCCAGTACGCGGCCGTAATGCCAAAATGGTTATGACTTCCGTTTCGGGACATCTGATGGAATTGGAGTTTCTTCAATCGTATCGAAATTGGCGGAATGTCGATCCACGCTCACTATTCGATGCACCCATACGTAAGACCGTCAGCGAAAACTTTCTACCCATTAAACGAACGTTGGAGCGCGAGGTGCGTAGTTGTCAAGGGTTAATAATCTGGACGGATTGCGATCGCGAGGGCGAAAACATAGGCTATGAAATCATTGAAGTATGTCGCGCCATCAAACCCAATTTGACCGTTCACCGTGCCAGTTTCTCAGAGATTACCTCAGTTGCAGTCCGTCGCGCTTTGCAGCAGCTGGGGCTGCCGGACAAACGACAGAGCGATGCGGTGGATGTGCGCACCGAGCTTGATTTGCGAACTGGCGCAGCCATTACACGTTTCCAAACAATGCGACTACAGCGTCTATTCCCTGCCAATATTGCAGACAAGCTAATTTCATATGGCAGCTGCCAAATACCCACACTGGGCTTCGTAGCAGAGCGCTATAAGGAAATCGAAGCCTTTGTCTCCGAGCCCTTCTGGAAAATCAGGGGTAGTTATTCATACAATGGGTCCAATGAAACTATATAACAGAGGAGTTTTTTGGAACTATCTGTTATAGTGTCTGTATGTATAAAAAAAATTTAATATTCTCCATCATTTCCCATTGCAGTGCTGCACACCATTGAGGATCTCACAGTGGAGTTCAATTGGGCACGTAATCGTTTGTTTGACAAAGAGGCATGCGAGAACTATTTGCTGCTCTGCTTAGCAGAGCCAGAGCCGAGAGCCACTGTTGAAAGCGTTGTGGTAAAACCGAAGCATAAGTGGCGACCCACGCCTTTGGATACTGTGGAAATGGAAAAGTTGGGCTCACGCAAACTGAAGCTATCTGCCAAGGAAACGATGACCATAGCCGAAAAACTCTATAGCAAGGGTTTTATAAGTTACCCACGTACCGAGACTAACCAGTTCTCCAAGGAATTTGAATTGACACCCCTTGTGGAACAGCAAACGGGGCACGAGGCGTGGGGTGCATTCGCACAACGTGTTCTAGAGTGGGGACCAAATCCAAGGAACGGAAACAAATCCGATCAAGCGCATCCTCCTATCCACCCCACTAAGCTTGTCTCGAGTAAGTTGAATTGAGTAACTGAAAACCTGGCCTATTATAACTTTAAATTTAACAGATCTGCAGGGCAACGAGGCGCGCGTATATGAGCTGGTCGTGCGACATTTTCTCGCATGCGTCAGCAAGGATGCAGTAGGCTCGGAGACAATTGTTAGCATCGATATAGCCGGAGAGAAGTTTAGCGCCAGTGGATTGGTTATACACGAAAGGAACTATTTGGACGTTTATGTGTATGATAAGTGGAGTGCGAAGCAGATTCATAACTATCAGCAGGGTCAGCGGTTTGAGCCGACGGAGATTATGCTGCATGAGGGAGCGACTACAGCGCCTCCGCTGCTTACAGAAGCTGATTTGATCGCGTTGATGGAAAAACACGGAATCGGCACAGATGCCACACATGCTGAGCACATCAACACGATAAAGGAGCGCGGCTATATAGGCGTGGTAGAGAAAGGAGCTCTAGTGCCAGGTGTTATTGGCATGGGCTTGTACGAGGGCTACGATGCCATGGAGTTGACTTTGGCGAAGCCGCTGCTGCGCGCTGAATTCGAAGCTGATCTGAAACTCATTTGCCTGGGCGAAAAGGATCCAAAGCTTGTGCTGCGCGAGCAAATTGCTAAATATAAAACAGCTTACCAGCAGATTATGGACAAGATCACAGCCATGGATGACAAAATAGCGCAAAGGATTAACGAAACGCCAACGGCCGCCACCGCCAACCTGTCAAGTGGTTTGGTGCACGAGCTCTTCCAGTGCCCTAAATGCGAGCAGGCACCGCTCGCCTTAAAACCCAAAAAGAATCAGACAAGCTTTTTCATTGGTTGCCTTAATTTCCCGGACTGCAAAAATGTCATTTGGTTGCCGGAGGAGTGCAAGGAGTTAACCGTGTTGGAGGAATGCTGCCCGACTTGTGGCGATGGCTATAAAATGCTCAAATTTAAGCTAAACACCGCCTACTATCGTGGTTTGTTCAATGCTCCCCATGGATGGTACAAGAATTGCTTACGGTGTGATGAATTGTTTAGAAGCACCTTCAACATCAATTTGGACCAAGTGAAGCGCGTGGGCAGAATTGTGGGACAGGCGGGAAGCTCAGGACCAGGACCAGGACCAGGACCGGGACCGGGACCAGGACCGGGACCGGGTGGTGGTGGTGGAGGTGGAGGGAAAACTTATGGTGGGACCACTCCCAGTTTAGGTACACATCCGGCAAGTGGCAATTCTTTGGGCTCAGCAAGTAATGTAGGCTCACAAAAGCCAGCCAAGCCGAAACGGAACACCAAAACTACAGCTAGAGAAAAAAAAGCGAATGCTGCAGCAGCAACAACAGCAGCAGGTGGCATAAGAAGCTTCTTCACGCACACCAATAGTCGGGGCACTGCAAGTCTAGATGGTTTCTTTGACAGCGACAACGATGGCTTCGATGAGCAGCTGCTGGCAGCTGCAGCTGTAGCCGAGTCTGGATCCGCGGTAGCTCATCAGCTGGATGAGGACATTGCAGCAGCATTTGCTGCAGATGATGATGCGGACTTTGAGTCGTTGCTGGCGGAAAGCAACAACAGCAACAGCACAAGCAATAACAGAATGGCGGCTAACTTGGACGGCAGCCTAACGCAATGGATGCGCGATGCTTACGAGGCCGAGGAGGCTCCCATGCTATGGGGCAGGCAGGCACGCGCAGCAGCYGAAGCGCAGCCAACAGTGAAGCGAGCGCGATTAAATGAAGCTTGTGCAGCTGAAGCTCATGCTGCGGTGATTTGCACTGGCTGCCGTCAGCCTGCTCGCCAGCTTACTGTGCTGCGCGATGGACCCAACAAGGGCCGGCATTACTACAAATGCCCCAAACCTAATGAGTGCAAATTCTTTCAGTGGGCCGAGCAGCAGCCAACAGTAGCTGTTCCCGCCACGAGCATCGGCAATTGGGGCAAGTTAGCAGAGCAGGAAACCAACAGCTCATCCAGTTGGGGCACATCAGCAGTTGACAGGGAAGAAAGGCGCAATTCCCAAGAGATTCTCTCATGGGGTACAAAGGGAACAGCGAATCGGAATAACTCTCAAAATTCCAATGATTCAAATTTGGGCAGTGCTGGAACTCTGGAACAAGGAAGAAGCAGATCGCCGACAACCTTTAGATGGGGTACGAAAAGTGCTGCCCAAGCAGCATCAACAAGTAGCAACAGCAGCTCAAACTGGGGGACAAATTCAGCTACACAGCAAAGGGCAAGTGGCCAGCTAACTAATGCGCACAGCACCTCCAGTTGGAGTACAGAAAACATGGATTGGAATCGTGGCAGCAGCAGCAGCCAAGCCAGCTCCACATTTAATCGCAATAACAACAGCTCCCAGAGCTCACACATCCGGTCTAATTCCAGCAGCACTGTGACCATAACTCAACGAATCGCTATCGATGGCAGCACTAAATGCAATTGCGATAAGCCCGCGAGCAGTCTGATCGTCCGTAAGGATGGGCCCAATAAGGGACGACCCTTTTTTGCATGCGCGAATCGCGAAAAGTCCTGCGGCTTTTTTCAATGGGGCGATTCACATGAGCAGCCAGGTGAGTTCAGTATTAACTAATGTAATGCATTTTTAATCTATAAATGTTCCGAAATACCTTTCCAAGCAGCCAGCTCATCAAAATCTGGTGCAGGTGTAGCGGCTCCTGCTGGGAATCGGACACGTCGATGCGGTCTATGTCGCGAAGAAGGACACACCCGCCAAAAGTGTCCTCGCAAACAGGATTTCGACTATTGAAACAACGGCTTCCTCATTTCGTATTAGGTTCGAATTTTAAACATTTATTGGAACGATCAACATATTCTAAATATATATATATATATATCTATACATAGCGCCAAAAAAAAAAACACATTCTGTATATATGCGATATATATGTAACGTAAGTCCATCCATACATCTATGTATTAAAAACATACCGAGCTTCAGTTGTTAAATTATATCTCGAACGTCTTTGGAGGTAGAGTTTTTAGATTTTGCATTCATTTTGTTTCATGTATATTTTCCGCAACTTTGATTTATACCAATTTGGAATTCTTGGCTCAAATTGCATATAAACCAACCTGGCACATAGTCTATACAATATTAATTAATTACAATTATTTTATAAATTAAAAAAAAAAAAATTAAATAAAATAAACATGCAAACAGTGAACACGTATTCAAAAGAAAATCGTCAGTGATGTGTTTGAACTTCGAATTTCCAGTGGCATTAGCCGCAGCCAAAGAGATTTAGTTCGATGCCAAATATTCAAGATTATTTCCTTTTGTATATACGGGATGTTAAATAGAATTTGTTAAGGGCGAACCGATGTATAATTGGAATATCAGTTATTGATACTGTAGAGATATTTATCAAATGAACAAAATTTAGGTACAGATATTTTAAATGAATCTTTGCTAAACTTATATTTTGTAAAATTTGAAAAATATCGTTGATACAATGCATTTATTCAACGCAACAATATATATTTATGGGTTGTATAGTTGTATAAATAAAATGAATTAAAAAAGTTTTTGGAAGAATGTCAATATAATAAATTCTAAGAACCAAACTTAATAAAAGTTTAATAATGATTTTTTAAATAAATTTTTATTTTGGTTATTTTTTATTAGTCGAATTTTAATAAAGTTCCCACTTGTTTCAGTTATATGGAATTTACAAATTCGTTTTACATTTTTTATAAACAAAAATATATATATTTTTAATCAATTTTTTACAAATTAGGCAATATTATCTCTAGCCAAACATATTTTTTTTGCTCTCGCATTGATCTGACATGGAAATATATATTGTTTAAGTTTATTTTTTAGTTTAAGTTTACATTAGCTATAAACAAAAATATATATATTTTTCTTCAATTTTTTACAAATTAGGCAATATTATCTCTAGCCAAACATATTTTTTTTGCTCTCGCATTGATCTGACATGCCCTCGTTAGGGTATTCGAAWTTGAGTGAAGTGATCGAAACAAGTTTAAGAACTGCACGGACTGGTGGTGTCAGTGGTGCTGGTGCTGGTGCTGGTCACCTGTTTGGCCGGCTCGTTGGGATGCGTTATTTCGATGGCCATGCCGAAATGTATTTGTGCCATTGGCAGCAGCAGCAGCAGCAGCAGCCGAGGAAGAAGAAGAAGAACCGCAACATGATTTGGCAACTTGGCAACTTTCTTGCAGCAACGCGCTGCAACTTCGAGGGGGGTTAGAAAAAAACCCGTTGCTTAAAAAAACCAAAACCAAAGACAACATAAAAAAATCATCTGTTGAATCGCGCATCTTCGGCCCAACCCACCTGACTGACTGGGCAAGTTTTCGTGTGGNTATTTTACATTCATATTCGTTTTAGTTATCGATATCGCTTTCTAATATCTAGAGTTTCTTTTTGTGTAATTGTTTAATACATAATTAAGTTGGATTTGAAGAAGATTATAGTAAAAACACACAATAGATTTGTGAAGTATACAAAAGTCTAAGTACATTGAGAGAATAAATAGTTAGGTCAATAATTCAAACTACTTGCGTGACTATTCAGATATTGAAGTAGTTGATACAAAAAGAGATTAAAAATGCATTTGATAGTTTCAAACGATTTTGAACACATTAAAAAAAAACTGTTTGACAAGATGGTGTTAGGACCCGATCAAAGTTTTTATAAATTTAACTTTTAAGTACAAAGTTGTACTCTGTAAAGTCCAGACATCTTTTTCTATGTATTATACAGTACATTTATAAAAACTTTGATACTTTTTGAGATACTTAGTTAAAGAAATTTAAACAATTAAGTAAACGTAGATATATATGTAAATATATATATTATATATTATTGGTAAACACAGACTTGGGATTACTTAAGTTAATGGACGAGCACTCAAACGAGTAGACTGCGTTTTTGAGATGCCTGGTTAATGGTATAATTTGCCCACACTTTAATTGGTTACCTAATGGAAATGTATTTGAATGTGAAATGGAAACATATTTAAGCATTTGAGAGATGTGTTTTAGTTCTCAGTATTCCATAATCCTAAATGTTTTCCATAGTTAGTCTTCATATAATTTCTATACGAACTCTTTCATGAACTCTTTCATTTCCAATATTCTTACTTGTACTAAATATTTACTTTTCGTTTTTATGTAAATACTTTTTAATTTTCTTTAGCATATTTCTTGTCAAAAGGAACAGCGGAATAATACACATTAAGTCCTCTTCTCTATTATTATGTGTCCTTTAATATATCAACATATCTTTAATTTCTATGAGTTCACATCAAATGTGAAACACGAAAATGATTTCATTTAAAAGAGAGGAAAGTGAATTGTGATAATAAAAGTGAATTGTCAATTGATTCGTGGCACTTTCGTCCTGACTTTTTTTTGAGTAGAATTGAAGTGGAATAAAACAAGAAATAAGAGCAAAAACAGTAAACAAAACTTGCACTTAATCTAGAATTTCATAACGTATGTCTTGTATGAAATGCTGGAATGATAAAGTATTCCTAGGGAATTTAGCTCCTAGCTACAGCAAATGAAGAACATGATGTTCCTAATTGCTAGGCAAATTATACCACACCTTTGAGCTATTATTGGAATGTGGAGGTTGGCTGCTTAAATTTTTAGATTTCTACCTCTGGCGTGAATTTGCGTCAGAAGTAGATCTCCTCCTCCTCGGGCTTGGCGCGTGGCGCTTGCCCCGAACTGCCCAGAGGAGCACTCACACGTGCGGCTGCATTCACATTCATATTCATATTCACATTCACATTCAAATTCGTATTCGCACTCGCATTGTTGCGGCTGCTCGTGGGTGTTTGCGCCAGTCGCTGTTGATGCTGCTGAGCAGCTGCTGCTGCTGCAGCGGCTCCTCCATATCCGGCGTAATGTCCTGTAGAATTTGGGGTTAAGTTGGTGACCGAGGCTCCGCCGACCTGCTGTATGATGGCTGGTGAGCTGCCGGTGCGCGAGTGCTGCGGCGTAGGCGTAGCCGTTTGCCGTTGCTTGTCGGCCAACTTCAGTGGAAACATTTGCTGCACTCCGGCGGAAGCAGGCGTGGACCCATTGTTGGAGCTGTTACTGAAGCTGGCTGATTTGTCGACCCGCGTGCCGGATGACAACGATGATAGCTTCATGGGCAGTTTCTGTTTCACGAGCGTCGCATTCGCTTTCGGCGCGTTATTCGCACTAAGCAAATGCACAGGCGGAGTCTTGCAACTGGATCCACTGCTCAGCCACTTCTCCTTACGTCTATCGATGGTGGAGGCGGTTGTTGTTGTTGGTGTTGTTGCCGTGGGCGTGTCCAGCTCATGTGCGTCCTCCGGCAAAGCGACAGGCGCGAGGGCTGGCGCAAGCGTTGGCAGCGGAGTACTGGGCGATAGCAAAAGGCCTTGACTGGACAACAGCTCCATTTTCCGATAGAGTTGCTCACGCTGCTGGCGTATGTCCTCCTGTTCGGCCTTAATTTGCTGCTGCAGCTGCAGCTGCTGTGCCCGCATTTCGACGAGCTCGTCCATTTGCTGTTGCTTTTGTCGCAACCAAGCGGTCTTCTCCTCCTGCAGCTTATCCTGCAAGTTGCGCAGCTCCTCCAGCTGATCCTTGTGCGTGTAGGCAGAGCTACCGCCAGCTCCTGACCCACCTGCACCGCCGGCGCTAGAGCCTCCGCCGACACTGCTGCTCCTGGGCGACTCGCGATACAGCGCCAGTTGCAGCTGCAGGCTCTGTATGCAAGTCATTTGCTGCGAGATGATGCAGAGCAGCGTGTGCAAATGATGCGACACCTGGAGCACCGCGTAATTGTGCTCCTTGCTATTGGTGGGCAGCGTGCTGGCGTGCAGTTGGAGCTGCGTTGGCGCTGCAGCCAATTCAACTGGTGCTTGGGTCTTCAGCTCACGCTTCTCCTCTAGCTCCTGCAGCCGCGGCGTCAGTTTGGCCTCCCGTCCCACGTTCAGTTTACCCCTTTTCTCATCGAAGCCCGCAAAGGTTTCCGCACGTTTCGGCAATGTGGGCGACGCATAGAGGGCACTTTGTTTCTCGCCCACGCTACTGACGGTGCGAGAGACGGGAAGCCCAGTGGCAGCGCTATAAATGCTTGCCGCCAGCTGGCTAATGTCCTGCACAGTGTTGAGGACACGTCGCCAGAGCTCCGCAGTATCGCAGTCTGTAGAAACCAACTCCTTATAGGAGCCAAAGGCAGCCAGGAAATTGGCCGCACTGCCATTCGTGTTAGCCGCATTCAGATCTTCGCCGAAGGGTTGTTGCTGCTTGAGCAGATTGAACTGTAGCATCAGTTTCTCCTCCAGCAGTAACGCCTGCTCAATATCCTTTTGGCGCATCTTCTCAATGATCTCGCGCTTGTTGACACCAATGCGGAGCTTCTCTTCAGCCGTCAGTGCTTCAGCTTCGATGATATCCGTGGCAGGACAGTCGAGCACTGCCTGCCTGATGCTCTGTATCCAGGTTTGTTTGTCCTTTGGCGTTTGCACCTTGAGTTCGTACATTTCGGGAAAATCGGGATTGGAGCTGATGATATAGATTCCACGAGATTCGGTCCCCGCTTTCTCGCGTATCAGCAGCTTCTGCAACGGAACCACGCCCGCCTTGTGCTCGGGCGTGAAGAACGCATACTTATTATGCGCTGAATTCTCGACAAGAAAGCAAAGGCAGTCTGTGAGCACTACAATCAAAACCAACTGCGTCTTAGCTCGACCCTGCATCAACGTGGCCAACCCGTCGAACTTGAGACGTCGCCTTGACTCCACTCCCAACTCGGTCTTGCGGAAGGGTTTATTCTTATAGATAGCAAAGGATTTCGCATCGACG